AATACCAACAATCCAACACCAAAATGTCTCCACCTTACACCACCACCACACATTCTCTTCTGCACCCCCCGATTTGCAGCGTCACCCACCTGTTCATCGTCGGAGCTCTACTTCGCCGTTGTCTACTTCGTCGTGTCATTTCACCATCGCAACTTGCGGTGATTCGCGAAGGGAAAAGTGCGGCGGCGTGGGTGCTCTGGGAGGTGGTCTCCGACGGTGGACGGTCGTCTCCGACGACGAGCGCGAGAGAGGAAAAGAATGTGGAAGATGAGGGGAGGTGCGAGAGATAGGAGAAGGGAGTAGAGAAAGAAATTAGGTTATCAATTAGGATTTTAATATAATACCTGATTTTTGAATAAATAAAGTTTAGATCTAATTTTTAAAAACCAATTTTTAAAGACTTGTATATATGTAATTACCCTTTTTAACTTACATATGTTAAACAATTGATGTATGATTACATAATTAACCGATTGGCCCACACACACAAGCGATAGGCCTCATCCACAGTTCGATGCTGTCCAACGACGTGTCATCCTTCGCTTCTGTTGTTCCTTTTCTTCTTCGGACCTCTCTCCCTGCACGAACCACTTACATACAAACAGTTTATACGTACATTATACATACTGACATACACGCAGTAGAGCCTAGCCTACAGAGAGAGTGAGTGAGTGAGAAGCGTCAATGGCCTCCATAATCCATACCCAATTAGCCACTCCTTCCAAACTCAACCTTTCATGGCGGCGCACGTTAGCACCCGACTCCCTTGCCTCCACTTCCTCCTACTCCCACTCTTCTTGTGCTGCCACTACAAGTAAAGGTAAAGCATGCTTCCTATCCTACTACTGTAATTGCAAGTACCTGCAATTGTGTAGTGTTACTGATAATTTTGGCTATGATTAGGAAGGGGTAATGTGGTGTCGACGCATATAATAAAGTGTAATGCTCAGGCGGCACCAGGGGCTGTCAATTTGGCGCCAGGGACACCGGTGAGGCCTACGAGCATACTTGTAGTGGGTGCCACCGGAACATTGGGCAGACAGATAGTGAGGAGGGCATTAGATGAGGGCTATGATGTACGTTGCCTTGTCCGCCCCAGGCCTGCCCCTGCTGATTTTCTGCGTGATTGGGGCGCCACTGTTGTTAATGTAAACTCACTAAACTTTCCTGCTGTAATTTTCGTTTTGGATGTATGAGAAATAATTGTATGGAACAATATTTCTTGATAGAACTCTACACTTTGAAACTTGGCAGCTTGCTTTGGCACTGGAAAATTCTGCTGCAGTATTCAATTTTGTGCTATCTAATGCAAACAGTATTGTTGTGCCTTTTTGAGTCGTATATGTTGAATTTCCTTTGGCGTTATGTTGAAATGTGCTTTATCTGTGTACATGTTAATGTAAAACGTTTAAGATAGGCTTCTGAGTAAAATTGTTTTTGAGCAGGCTGACTTAAGTAAACCTGAAACTATACCAGCAACATTAGTTGGCATTCACACGGTTATCGATTGTGCTACAGGACGTCCTGAGGAGCCAATAAAAACCGTAAGCACATCTGCCACTGTGATGGCTTCCAATTCTTTATAAAATGATCAGTTTCTACATGGTTAACTGAAGGTTTTGTGTTGTAATTTGGGTTAATGCTTCATGAAATATCTGCTATATTTGATTCCCATATTGACTTTAGGTAGATTGGGAAGGAAAGGTAGCTCTTATACAATGTGCAAAGGCCATGGGTATCCAGAAATTTGTCTTCTTTTCAATTCATAACTGCGACAAGCATCCAGAAGTTCCACTCATGGAGATCAAGAACTGTACTGAGAAGTTTCTTAGGGATTCAGGACAGAACCATATCATTATTCGTCTATGTGGCTTCATGCAGGTGAGCAAATGCCTTGAATTTAAGGAATGTTTGGATGCCTAAGAAATGTGATAGCATTGGTTTAGTGCACTTGCCATTTGCATTACTGGGTTCACTTTTGCTCCTAATGAGGTTAAGAATTCATTAAGTTGCTAGATAAAGTAACAAAGTGTACATTTTGAGTAAAAGATTAAAATGTCTTCCGAGTTTATCAGAAAACGTGAGCATCATTTGGAGTAAAAGATTAAAATGTCTTCCGAGTTTATCAGAAAACGTGAGCATCATTTGGTGAAGAAAAAGTCGAGAGGATGACTTCTGAGATAGTCTACACACGAGCTCGGCTTGTGTGGGGGCGTGAGCATCATTTGGTGAAGAAAAAGTCGAGAGGATGACTTCTGAGATAGTCCACACACGAGCTCGGCTTGTGTGGGGGCTCGTGCTCGCACGAGCCGAGCTCGTGGCTCGTTGGTTTTTGGGCGAGCTCGGCTCATTCATGAGCTCGCCCAAAACGATTTTGACCTTTTTTTTTTAACACTACTATAACTAATTAACTAAATCTTAAATTCAAAAAATATATATATACACATTTCTATTTTTTTAAAAATATATATTTTCCAAAATATTTATAATTTTTAAAATAATAAATATACATTTTCTAAAACATTTTTATTT